AGAAAATCATTGTTTTTCACATGGGCAGTTATACGTTGCCTGTTTACGAGTAGGAAAACCATCCTTTGTTGTGTTAACGTCAGACCAAAATTGAAAATGTGGTTTACCAAAGAGCACTTCAATGAAACGGATAATTTGCGGATTCACTTTCATTTACTTCAAATTTTCAAAATCAAATTTTTGGTCACCTTAATATTACGCTAAATTGTATACATTAATATTTTTCTTATACATTAATTTTTATGTATACATTAATATTTTTATGAATATAGCGAAAGTTATTAGGAATTTGAGGAAATGCAAATTTATTGTGATTAAGTATAAATTTCTGATTTCTTATATTATTTTACATTAATGCAAACACATTAATTGATAAAATTCTACAGCTGGTTTTGGAGTTGGATGAATTGGACCCACTCTTCAATCAGCATGCTGAGGACAGCAGAGAAAACGATTTTATCGTGTAAGAATGTTTTTCTTTGCATATTGAATATGACTAATTTTCATTTTTACTTCAATCCAAAAAAATCTAATCATGACCTTTTTTATATTTAGGTTTAAAAATTCCATATCGTGGTTGGTACGTCGATATAGGTCCGGTTGTGGGAGCGGCGGATAAAATATGGACAATTTCGTTGAACGAAGAAAGTACCAAATCCCCCTTGGTTTTGCTCCATGGATTAGGCGCTGGGGTAGCATTGTGGTGTCTTAATTTGGATGCTTTAGCAAAATCGAGGCCTGTGTACGCCATCGATGTTTTAGGTAATAAAGATTGTTTTTTTGATTAAATTAATCGACGTGTTGCTATACGAATTACTTTCAATATATAATTTCTTTGATTTCGATCTTTATTGAGGCAGGTTTTGGCAGGAGTTCTCGTCCTGGATTTAGTAGTGATGCGCAGGAAGCAGAAAGGCAACTAGTTCAATCCGTAGAAGAGTGGAGAAGAGAAATGAATTTGGATTCAATGATAATATTGGGACATAGTATGGGAGGATTTTTGGCAGCTTCCTATGCTATTCGATATCCAGATAGAGTCAAACATTTGATACTGGCAGATCCATGGGGATTTCCCGAAAAACCACAAGTAAAGGAAGTTTATCAACACTAATTCAAAGTGCTAGTTTAATTATTACTAATTATTTATGTTATTATGAATATTTTTGCAACAATTTTCAAACGAACTTATTAACTTCAAGAAAGGTTAGTTATAGTAATCGCAAAAAATTGCTAAAGCTAAAGGCAGATCTAGCGGTTTCGGAGATCTAGTAAAAAAAAGTAAAAAAAATGCCATTTGGCCACCTCATATTGTCAGATATTTAGAGATTTTTATTATTTAAATGTTCCGTAACATCGTTTGTCCGTTAGACGGCTACGCGGCGCTTATGCGCTTCGATATTTCGTCTCGATGCAGCTAAAGCCGTGCGATTGCTTTGAAAAAAGTTCAAAACTTCCAAAATATTTCAAAATAAAATATTTTTTTCGAAAAGTCAAAAACATTTAATCTTTGAAAAGAAAATTGGTACGGGAAGTTCCAGCAATTTGTGGTTTATTAACTTCCCGTAGGGTAAGTTATTAATGGGCCGAAAATCGAAATTGAAAATTTTTACATTTCTCGACGTTTTGAAGGTTTCTGAACATTTTGGCATACTTCAGAAAAAATAGATGTGTGTGTGTGTATGTATGTATGTATGTATGGATACAAATCTCCAGTCACGTTTTGGGGCGCACGGATCAACCGATTTGAATGGTTCAAAAAACATTCGATTCCTATTGGTAGGGAGAAGAGCTGATTAGTTTTTGGCAAAAGCCGTTTCGGAGAAACGAAGCAAAGAGTGCAGAAAATAGAAATCGAGTCTTTGAGAGAACGGAGCATCCGATTGGAATGGTCTAAAAAACATTCAATTAGTAATGATTGGGAGAAGTGGTTATTAGTTTTTGGCAAAAGCAGGCCTAACCATTTCGAAGATACAGAGCTAAATGTGCAAAAAATGGCAGTTTTTGAGAGAACTAAGCGTCCGATTTGAATGATTCGAAGAACTTTCTGCTTGTTTTAACAAAATAATTGAATTTGGAAAAAAAAATTGTTTCAAATTGTTCAAATTTCAAATCGAAAATAATTCAGATTTTAATCGTAATTCTGACTAAAGTTCTAATGTACTTTAAACAAATATGTTTAATTTTGCAATTCAGTTTGTGTAATACTTATAAATAAATATTAGACAATGTTACAATATTTATAATAATCTATCTGAAAACATTCAATATTCCTCGAACATTTCGTTACGGTACGGGAAGTTCCAGCAAATTGCCTTAAGGCACGATGCCATACACCCCACTAGTTTAGATTTAGAATCGAATGTGTTTAACCAATATAATTATAATATATTAATATTATGGAATATGTGTGGCATATGGGGATAATATCTACAGCTTATGATTATGATCTGACATCAGAACTGGACCTGCCTTGTGGCACAACACACATACAACTAACAGTAACATATCCCAGGGCGGTTGGGGTCGCTCATGGGATACCTCTTAGAGGGTTGTAGCTTCTTAATTGATCTAGATTTCCAGAGAATCTTTCTGGTGGACCCCAATAAATCGTTAAGGGTTGATGACCATCAGGCGATAATATTAATGTAATATTAAAAAAAAAAACATTGTTTGGCAGTTTGGCAATTGTGTCAAATTGAACTAAAAGTGTATTTACTCTTATTTATCCAATAATAGTGTTTAATATTTGTTAAATAACTGTTAAAAATGCTTTCTATTAAAAGGACGTTGCTGCAAAATACAACTTGCCATTTTGGGTCAGAGCTGTTGCGTTTGCCGTGCAGCCGTTTAATCCTTTGTGGGCAGTTCGCGTGGCTGGACCATTTGGTCAATGGGTGATCGAAAAAGCGAGACCAGATATTGTTCGTAAATATGCAGATCTGGTACCAGACTACGAGCGGGTTATTCCGCAATATATACATCAATGTAATTCGCAGACACCATCGTAAGTGGATAATGCACTTAATGGAGTTACTATATTTCAGAAATTACATTCAATATTGTAAAAATGATGTGTAAACAATTTCTGACAAGTTACAAGAATTTTAAAAAAAAAACATAATAAAAGTACTGTCATGCTGAATTAAACAAAGTAAAATAGAAACCTAAATAAAACTAGTTATATTTTTGGTTCCTGTTTTATCTGTCATTCCATTCAAACTATTCCATTTACTATGAATGATTAATAGATTAAAAAAAATTGAAAATCTAAATTGTTTGTAGATCATTTTGTATTTTACTTTATTTTTTGTTTGTTAGAGGTGAAAGTGCTTTTCATGCTATGATGACCGGATTTGGTTGGGCCAAATTTCCTATTGTCAGACGCTTAGACCAGCTCAGAGATGATATTCCAATAACTTTGATCTATGGATCAAGATCATGGGTGGATAATAGTGCTGGTGAAACTATTAAACAGCACAGAACAAAAAGCTATGTTAATGTACAGGTGAGAAATACTATAGAACAGTATAGTATTTATTTAGTTATAGTTACTAACTGGATTAAATGATTTCTTTTATTAAATATTAATTTCAGGTTATAACAGGTGCTGGTCATCATGTATATGCTGATAAAGCACAAGTTTTTAATAAGCATGTCAATGATGCTTGTTCTAAAGCCGATAATGATAGGTAAATAATTATATATGTATATACATATGGTATTCATGATATTTAATATTTATTTTATAATGTAGAAATGAATCTGCAGAATTAAAAGCAATACTTGGGCCTGATGACAGTACTAAATAACTGATAAAATAAAAGGTTGCGTGTAATATTTTTAGAAAAATTTTATATTTATATTGTGTGTGACAGTGATGTATATATATAAATTTTATTTCATTTATTTTATGCAAGTGCAAAAAGCAAAAACCAAAAAATAGTACTTTTTTAGAATATATTGCAAAAATGATTAATTAAATAACCTGCAATAATGATTAGCTATGCACTTGAAACAAATTATGAGAAAATAGAAGGAAATCAGTGGAATTTCTTCTATACAAATGTATTATTTTATGAAGATGAGGTAAAATAATTAAATTGATATTATGGTATACCAATTTTGTGATATCCAGCAGTAAGATTGCAAATCAATTAATAAAATAGAGACCATATATTTTTTTATGAATGAAATGGTAGTAACTTTTTGAAATGAGTGAGAAGTTTTAAAACTATCATGCTCTATCTACTTCAATTAGTTGAAATGCTTTTTGATGGTTTTAATGAATTATCTTATCCATATCAGAACAAGATTAAAGAAATAAATAAGTAAATAGTTTTATCATTATTTAATTTATATACTAATTTAAATTAGATAAATGATATATTGAAATGTTACCATATTGTAATTAGGTATTTAATAAATAAGTCTATACATTTGTTTTTTATACAAATGTAGTAGAGTATAAAATATAAATTATATCAGAAATGAAAACTGTGAAGATAGAAAGTGCTGCAAATAATGTTAAAGTCTGTGATAATAATGAATATTTTATTTTTACAAGCCACCTCCGGTAAATAATTTCAATTTGGAAAACCAATATAAAAAAATCAATAATTATTTTTATTTTACTGTAGGCAAAGAAAAGTTGGTGTATATTAAAATATCACAAATCAACATACCTCATTGAAAACTTATGTTCAAATTATTCTAGTTTATTTAATTTTAATTTATCTTCGTATTAAATATTCACTGCTGTGTGTATATTGAAATGACAAGTATTATGTATTAATTAACTGAATAAATTATAGTGAATGCACAACTATAATGTTTAATATAATGTGATTGAAAAAATAATGGAATAATGCAAACATATAAATTTCTAATTCCAATAATAATAAATAAAATATGAGAGTAATAAAACGATGTTAAATAATTCAGTTTAAAAGAGAAATATATTAGTATTTAACTCAACATTTTAGAACAGATCTGATTTGTAACAGTTATCATTTGAATATCATATAACATTTAACAAATATAACATCAGTACATACATGGATTGTCATTTTGAGCATCAACAAGACTTTTGGTTCATTTTTGTTTTATTCCTTTACTTTGGCACAGGTATGAGTTGAGTCTTTGAATCCGTTGTAACAACTTGAATTAAACTTCCAGAAACTGGCCTATCTGATCCTTTTGTCCACTTCACAAATAAGCTGAAACAATATTATGAAATTAAATTGGTAAAATAGAGCAATGTGTTGAGTATTAGAAGGTGAAATATCATAAAAAATAAAAATTCTTCATATTATTATTAAACTTCAAAGTTAAGTAAAATATACTGACTCTGCTAAATATTCCAAAGGTGTCCAGGTTGAAGTATCTGCCTTAGGCATCCATTTTCTATTCATTGGTGTATCCAACATGACAGGCAGAATGGCAACAGCAGCGCTTTCCTTGGGCAAGCCACTGCTTTCTCCACCGAGAGATCTTGTTAGTTGATGCACTGCTGCTTTTGCCATACCATAACCGATCATACCTGTGCAAAGTAAGTGTTAAATAGAAGTATCATAGTGCATCATAATATAAAATCACAATCTTCATTTGAATCTTGTTCAATAATTTATTAAAAGGCTTAGTAATCTTTTTTTTTATCTCCTTTATGTCAAATATTAATGCAATTGCAAATACTACATCATCTTTCTTCATCAGTCAACAAATTGGCAATGTTCCATAATCCAAATGTATCAAATGTTATATAAACTTGATAACTCATAAGAGTTATGATATAATTATATCAATTATTGACATAAATAATAATCTGCAAAATTTATAGCTCAGTTAGCATTAGTTCTCTCTGCACTTTAAATGCTGGAAACTCTTTATAAAAGGTCTTTATAAAGATATACCTAATACTTTTGGATCATTTAAATTGTTTGAAGCTATAATTTGAATATATGATGCATCATGATGATTACATCTTCAAAGCAAAAATGTAGTGTGTCTCATTTATTTCTCTACGAACCAGGTGTTCCTTCCAGGGCAGCTTTAGCACCCGTTAATGTTAGCAAGCCACCTTCCTTCAGATGTTTTGCTGCAATTGCTGATGCGATTAATGAACTCCAAACACTCTGACGCCACATCAGATCAGAAGATGAAGTCAAATCTAAAAAGTATGTAAGGGATAAATCACGCAATAACTATTTAACTTGTTTGTTTGTTACTATTTATTATTATTTACCTTTAGCTGCGTTTCCACCAGCCCATCCACCGGCTACACAAATGATGGCGTCCAATTTTTGACCAGCTAATAAGCTTTCCAAAGTTGTTAGAACATTTGTTTCTTGTTTTCCAAGATCTAAATCTTTATCGATCAATATATTTGCGTCTGCCTGTTCATTTTCCTTCATGTCAATACTTCCGACCCACTAAAATTGAACGTTAAATTTGTAAATATAATCAATTGTTGATTAAACATTTATAAAATTATTTTCAATTAGATTCACATGGAAATCTAATGTGAATCAAGTTAAATGCCATGATAACTTCGACACTACGATGTTGGCGTATACAGGTGATCTCAAAACTACATTCTTATCTGAATCTTACTAGATTCTACGAGTATAAGGGGGTTCCTTCATAATGCTGAACGTTGCGCACAAAAAAATAATTGTTGTATAAAGCAATTCAATAGTGACTAATTATTAATTATTCTTTTTCTACTAATAAAAGTATCATATATTTTAAGTATACTTTGTTCGTTATCAGTTTACCTAATAATGAGAATTTGCTAATTATAAACGCAACATATTTATTTATATACATAAGATCTCTATACACGAGTGCATTATAAATGAAATATTTAAAGTTTTTATATAATAAATGTAGTTAAGGTTCGTTATACCAATTATTGTAAATTATTCTCTATAAATAATATATAGTTAACCACTAAATTTTGCAAGTTATGCTAATATATTTTGGATTGTTTTTGAAAGTCGATTGAAAGTAACACAACTTCCTGTTCCTAATATTAGCCCAACATTCTGGGATGATTTCTAACATTATTTTTATATTTATTTCAAACATCATGAAAAATAAAATATTCTAAAGTGGTTTCCAACCTTTTCGTACCGTGACCCCCGTTTATTTTTTCAAAAAAATATTGTACCCCTCTTTAATGACTTATATTAAAATATAGTATTTTGGAAACGCCATTCTGAAGGAGCGCCTCCAAATTTCGAAAGCCACGTAGTAAAATGGTGTATATATATATTATGTTTATTGCGGTTTGGAAATTCAATCGAAATATTTGTTCATAATATACGGTTTGTTTTCCGTAGAATTTCATATATATGCTTACCTGGAATTAATTTGATTGGGTATTTTTTGATAGGAATCATTTCAATGAGGGAAATTTTGATTCGGCATTTGATTCTAACAATATTTTTATAAATAAGCAAGAACACGACTAGTTTTTTGAAAAAACCAACAGTTAATAATTCATCATCTAGTATGTAAACCATAAAATCTATATTTAAAATGGGTGATGGTGCCCTAGGGCAGGTCAGTGAGCTGAGTTAAACTCCAATTCGATTCAGGGAAGAATAGTTTGAGAGATTTCTCATTGCCATTTCACACCGCAGTGCCCAAAATGGAAAACATATTTTTGATCTATATTTTAAGTGAAAATGGACATCGCTTCTGCCCGATGTCAGGTTGCCAGAGCGGGAGCCTGAACTACGCCATTGAGCACCCCCATTTTTAATTATATCTTTTATATAAAATTCTTCTGTAATGATGTATGTAAATATACTCCTCCCTCCTAAACGCTTATTCGGATTTTGATAAATCCTTCTTTAGTTTGTTAATGAAATTTAGGATGCATGTGATTATAAAAATATAGTAATATAGTAGAAATAAATAGAAAAAATGGCAAAAAACGGCATGTAATTGTCTGACATTGAAAAATTTAAGACATTGCATTAAAAACAAATGAAAACTGTCATCTGCCAAAAATTTCAATTTACTTATGAATCTAGACAAATATGTATAGTAAATTCATGATTATGAATAAGAAAAATGAAATATCTACATTATTATTGGTAAAAAGCAGCTGAGTTGTGCCAGAAATAAAAATAATATAAATACATTATATGTATGGCAGATTGAATGATACACAATGAACAGGATTTGACAAATTGAGTAATGAAATTAAGTAATGATCAGGGCAGGTCCTTTTTGAATGCGACGCATGCGAAAACTACGAGCGCATGCTTTAGGGGGCGCCAACACAAGATTCGGATATAAAATTTCCAATTTAGTTTTTTTTTCAATATAATTTAAAAATATTTGTAAAATACATTATAAATTTCACTTTAAATTAACAAATGGAAAAGTAAGGATAAATACATACAATTCGGCCCTTGTGATATCAATTAGGAGAAGTTTTGGATATCTTAAATAATCAAAAATTAAATTAAAATAATTCAACATGAACTACCAGCGTTATGTTATGGTTATGTTTAATAATGAAAGGCTAGAATTTTTTTGCTCTCTATGATTTGCTCAATAGAATCGCATAAAATGCCCTAAATAAATAAATAAAATGTTTCAAAAGCCAAATATAATTAATGATAATAATAAACTTAAAACAGGTAAAATAATAGGGGGGGGGGGCTAAAAAAATGGCATGCGGGCACTGGGAACCCCAGGAGCGTCCCTGGTAATAATGTATATTAAATTATTAGTGAGAAAAATGTAATTTAGCCATTATAAAAAAATATAACTAAAAACCAGTTAAAATATGCTACTATATATTAGATATTTCTTTCAATGTTGAAAATTGTAACAATGCAGGTATCGACAGAGAACCAGTTATGTGGTTAGCGGTTAGAAACTCATGGTCGATATGTAATCAAATTGATCCTATATATAACAAAAAACTTGTTTCCAATATTATCTATAAAATAACTTTATAACAGAATATGCAATCTAAAAATAGGAATCAAGTCAATTTATTCACGATTTATTTTTAATCAAGTTTTATATATCAAGTTCATTACATATTTTGCATTTTTATTTCTTTTATTAAATATTACATATATTATAAACAAAACTAGTATATAAGTAGTTTCTTTTAGAAGCCAATAGTTGATAATTTATCTAGTTGAATCGTGAAATCTTTATTTATATGCGGAACTTGGGATTTTCCGATTATATGTCAACAACTTTGTCATTATACTCAGAAAAAAATAATATTTTGCAATATTCTTTATGCTTAATAATATCATTTATTCAAACAATATATGCTAACTGATTTATGAGATTATTATTGAATAATTAAATTATTTTATACAATTGAAGATAGAATAATGCGTGTCTGAATTCCTTGTAAATAATCAATAATATACGAGAGAGCATTGATTTAATTTCAAGGTCCTGGATCGATAATATTTTTTTCCGGTTATTTGTTTATAAAAGCAATTTACCCTATATAGTAAAAAACTCGACATATAATTTAAAAAAAGGTATGCATTACGAATCCAAAATACTCAATTTTATCATTGCGCTGTTTAAGATGAAAATTCGCGATATATTGATGAAGTATCAGCATTATAATATATAGTATAATTCTTTAGTATAAATATTTGTTTGATGCTAAGCAGTTCTACATGAACCATGTCCGGCATGTATTTTTTTTACAAATTGACCTGAAAATTTCTTGGTTCATCGAAAAAAAAAAGTTTTAACCCTTTCTACTCGAATGCCGCCGCTCCGACGGCAAATACGTATTAATTCTGCATTTAGCAAGTGGAAAGGTTTTATGGTGGGGCCACTTCAGTCATGGATGTGTGACATAAAAATAGTACTTTCCTAAGAATTTAGGATTTTTTTTTATTTTGATACATTAAATTTCTTTGATACAATTTTAACCAAAGTATCTAATAAAGTGTTTTTTTTCTGATTTTATCGTGGTCGATTAATGTGTTAATGTTAGTCGCCAAGTATTATAGAGCAGCAAAAAATCAAGAGAAATCACTTTTGATATTTTATTTACTATATTAGTAAGGTGACCATATTTTTCTAGTTAAAACCGGAACGGTGGCTTTTAGTTATGGTAATTCACGACGGGGTAGATAGGTGTTATTTATGTTAAATAATAAAGCATATATCTACTTAAATAGTGACTTTAAAAAGTGACTAATACTATTTAAGGATGCCATAAAAATTAGGTAAATAAAACATTTTTTTCTTAAATCAAAATTATTAACTTTTAATAAGAACTTTATTATTCAATTATGTTATATCAGGGCTTCTTAAACTTTTGTCATTCGCGACCCATAGTTTAAAAAGCCATGTGTTATATGATATCTAAGCTATATTACCCTTAAAATTGAAGCCCTTGAAATTTTGAATTCAGCAACGTATTGTTTGATATAAGCATGTTCGTTGTATGTATCATTTTAGGATATTTCATGTGTAATTGTATTTTTATTATCAAGTAATTGCGAGGATTCAATTTGAACCTATACTCTTCGAAATCCGGAACAATTCAGGACAAAAATTCTAAATTCGGGACAATCTTAGAAAAACCCAGGACACTAGGTTGAAAACCGAGACTGTCCCGGCTAACGGGACGTATGGTCATCTTAATATTAGCGAAATTTAGTCGAACAGAATAGCAAAAGTAATTTGTTTCAGGAGTGGTAATAGTCCAGTCATTTGGTGCAAAAAAAGGCTGTTGCCGGTACAGTACTCCGGGAATTCTGAAAATTGGTAATCTCATAGATTTCGAGGTGCTTTTTACGAAAATCAACTTTGCCACCTCAAATTTGAACGGCAAGTTGCCGCCATATTGGAAAAATGGCTTCAAAGAACAGCTTTTTCAAAATATCTCCTTTCTGGCTGATTCTGCGATAAAAGTGTCTATGTACGAATTGAACTAGATAAAATTTCCTATAATTCCTTAGAAAACCGTTTTTTTGTAAAATTGATAGTTTGAGAGTACGGCCGCCTCAAAGTCTTTGCTGCGATTTTGAGGCGGCCGTACTCTCAAACTATCAATTTTACAAAAAAACGGTTTTCTAAAGAATTGTAGGAAATTTTATCTAATTTAATTCGTACATAGATACTTTTATCGTAGAATGAGCCAGAAAGGAGATATTTTAAAAAAGCTGTTTTTTGACGTCATTTTTTCAATATGGCGGCAACTTGCCGTTCAAATTTGAGGTGGCAAAGTTGATTTTCGTAAAGAGCACCTCGAAATCTATGAGATTATCAATTTTCAGAATTCCCAGAGTACTGTACCGGCAACAGCCTTTTTTTGCACCAAATGACTGGACTAAATGTTGATATTATCTAATTAACCCTTTTGCTACGACAGTACTTTTTCAAGATTTTTATATGATTATCAATAACAATGTGTTGAAAAATTACGCTTCTAATCAATTAGAAATTACAATAAAAAATAGAATTATCAAAATATTTTAATATATAGTGATAAATCTTGAAGCAAAGGCAAACACACCATGTCGTCCACGAATGAAATCCGTACACGCAGATGCCATCCAGGAACGACATCCGTATACACAGCGTCATATGGATGTCGTCCAGAGACGACATCTGTAGTGAAATGGTTAATTAGGAAAACTAATATGAAAATATGAATTATTTCTTCTATACAAGTGTTTTACTATTTTCAATATATTTTGAATGACTTGTATAATATAAACTAATTTTAAATTAAGTGATAATATAAAGAAAAAACCTATTAAGGAAGATATAGCATTAACTTATAAGTATCATTTTTAGTTGAGTAAGTTATAGTAATCGCAAAAAAATCGAAAATGAAAATTTTCATATATCTTTATGCTTCAGGGGTTTATGAACATTTTGGCATACCTTAGAAAAAAATGGATGTTTGTTTGTGTGTGTGTGCGTGTGTGTGTCTGTGTGTATGTATGTATGGATTTTTCGGGCGCACTGATCAACCGATTCCTATCAACTGATTTGAGTGGTTCAAAAAACATTCGATTCCTATTGACAGGGAGATGTGCTGATTAGTTTTTGGCAAAGGCAGGTCCAAAGTTTTCGGAGATACGGAGCAAAGAATCCAGAAAATAGAAATTGAATTTTAGCATTTCCTAAATGATACTACAAAACGGGACATGGTGCGGAACTATAATGTGCATTTAATCTGAAAATTAATATGCATTTCTCAGTATTTTGTATTGAAATAATTCTAATAATTATTAGATGTAAGTATTCAAGCATAAAGTGTTTGCATGCGCAAGGCTAGCTACTGAGCATAGAAAATGACTTTCTATTTACAAGGTTCGTAATCGTAATGCATTAATGATCACAGGTATAAGATAAAACTTATACAATTAATTATTTGAAGAATGTGGACAAATACAAAAATTTCAACAGAACATACTTATTCTGTAGTGATGTTTGCAAAAAAAAATCAAAACAGAAAAAAATGATCTCTGGCGAATTGACCTCTGTTATCTCTCTTTACTGGATGTTTTCCGGACTGATACAGTTGCTTATAGGTTCAAATTAGAATGTCTTCAAGAATTAAATAAACAACTTATAAAAATCAATCAAGAACCACACGCCATCTTAAAAACTTTTGAAAAATGTTGGATTCCTATTGGAAATCATAAATGTAAAGAAATATTATAATGAGAAACCGGCTCTTCGGGTATTGATCAACAAGTAGCAGAATTCGTACAGGCTTTGATATATGTATAAACCAATATAAATTATATACGCGTTTATACATTGTGTACCATAAAATATATTATCATAATTTTGTATATCATATGAAATCCAAAATCTTACATACCCAGTTGGATGACTTAAATTGTGATACACAAACAGCTCCAAGAGCGCCTTTTCCGCCATACACAAGAACACGACCGACAGACATTTTCGAATATTTTATTGTTTATTCACTTAAATTTGAAATATGAATTTTATGCAATATTATAATGAGCTCGTGCTAAAGTGTCTAACAAAACGAGCAGCACTCCCGAGAACTTATTGAACGGAACTGTTGCTTTTACTTGACTCTTTGATTGGTTCAACTCGACTTTGACAGTTGTCTGACAACTAACAGAAGAAAAGTGTTGCCATATTCAGCAAAATAATTATATAGACAAAGACTTTCATATTTGAATATTAAAGTGATTCATAATAAATGCTATTAATTTAAATTATCTTATTTTAAATATTAATTTAATTATTTTCATCTACTTAAAGAAAATAATACGAATAAAAATAAAAAGAGAAATCATGTTAAGCCGGTCTGACATTTAAATGACAACTAAAAGATAAACATTCTTATCAAGTGAAGGCGTTGATACAACTAAAAATAAAATAAACTTAAAATACTTAAAATGTCGATCAACCTTAAAAAACACCAAGAAAATATAATCAATGCTTGGAAAGATGTTCTAGACGAAAAATCTTCTACAGATTGGTATGTTCTATTTTACATGTGAAAGTTTGTGCAGAATTATTGATATACTTTCTAAAGGAGATTAAAAATTTTGATAATAAACTCATGATAAAATTATATCAGCAATGTATGTATTGATTTCTAGGGCTTTATTCGGGTATGATGGTCAAAGTAACGACCTAAAAGTTGTTTCTACTGGAAATGGGGGCTTAGATGAACTCGTTGATGAAATGAATAGCAGTAAAATTATGTATGCATTTTTAAAAGTGACTGATCCACAAACTAGTCTACACAAATATGTTTTTATAAATTGGCAGGTAAATGACATAAAATTATATTTAAAGTGATATGCAGTCCATCCACTTTCAACCTATAAAATGCTTTGAAATGCTTAGAAAAGTTTGGAATTTGTGGAAGTGTTTTTACCTAAAACTTTCTACAGTTTGCAATATATTATTATATTATTTTATTATTATATTCAATAATTTAGAAATGTTACTACTGATACAGGGAGAAGGTGCCCCAGTAGTTAGAAAAGGTACCTGTGCTGGTCATGTTGGTGAAGTTGCGCGATTGCTTCATGGAGCACATGCTACATTGCATGCCCGTGCGGAAGAAGATTTAGATCATGATAGAATCATAAAACTTGTTGCAACAGGAGCTTCCAGATATGATTTCAAAGCCCCAAGACAAGAACCTGAACCTTGCAAACCTGTTACTAGCACATATAAGAGAATAATACCAAGTAAATTATTATTAATTAATATGTTGGTTTATTTGATTTATTATGATATTAATTTTAGGTCTAGAAATTAACTCAAAGGAGCGTAATTCCTTCTGGCAAAAGGAACAGGAAAATGAGAAAAAAAGGTTTGAAGCAGAAGCACAGAAAAAAATTTGGCTAGTCAACAGTAAGCACTTATGACAAGTAAATGTTATTATAATTAATTGAAAAAACTTATTTATTCATTGTAGACAAAAAATAATTGAAGCAAAACAACATCGAGAAGAAGAAAGTAATAATGTCAGCAAAGATAAAAAGCTAACACCTACAGAGGAAGCTAAAACTATAATACAATCAAACAGATCAATTGCTAATAGTAGAGCTATTTTTGAGAAAGCCAGCACTCCACAATTGCAAAAGTAATGACTGAAATAATTTTGGATAATATAATTATTTGAAAATGTATATATTTTTTAGGAACCCAGCACCAGCCAAGCCTTTACGAAATTCAATAGTTCAGAGATCTATAGCTGCTTTGGCAGCAACTGCTGAAGTTAAAAGTAATCACTCTTCAGAAGTAGTAGAAGAAAATAAAGAAAATATAAAAGACTTTAAAGAAAGTACTAAAGACATTGATAATACATTCCAAAATCAACCTGAAAATGTTGCCACAAATTGTGCTGAAAGTGCAGACAATGATATAAAAGCATCTTCTAATGATGATTGCCAGAACTATGATTGTAATTCAGAAACAGAAGATGAAAAGTATTCTACTATTAAAAGAACTCCGCAAAGTAACAAAGTTATTGAAAATGAAGTTGTTAAACAAGTTGATGAAATTGCTGCTTTAGAAGTGATAGGACAAAATAATGAAGGTATGTATATGTGCAGATATATCAGATAAGCTGTGAAAATTGACTGCTAATTAGTATATATATTTCAAATATGTGGAAGTAAAATTCGATTTAATTAAATCATAAGAATAATTTTCAGATGAATTAGTTTACAAAACTACAGATTCAGAAGTATATGACTTATATAATGACTATGGAGATTTAGGACTGAAAGCTAGAGCTTTATATGATTATCAAGCAGGTACTTACATAAAGTAATTAAATTTATCTTTATTTCATACATTTTAAATATTTTTTTTATATTTATAGCTGATGAGACTGAAATTACCTTTGATCCTGGTGATATTATAACACATATTGATTGTATTGATGAGGGATGGTGGCAAGGATTAGCCCCTGATGGCGCTTTTGGTTTATTTCCTGCTAACTATGTAGAAATTATACAATAAATGACATTATTTTATGAAAGAACAATAGATTAGACATACTCCATAACTTTAAGAAACCTGAAATGTGAGGCCAAAGTATTTTTAAATATTTCTCTATACAACCCTCAACTCCATTAGCTTCTGAAGGTATTCAAATATTTTAACGGGAATAAGTATTATAGAAATTATATTTCAAAGTATACCTTATTAATCAAAGTATAATATACATGTATTTGTGATAGTATTTTTGTCACACATAAGATATCCATAGATAAATTTTGTAGCATTTTTATAAATTTAAATGAATAATATAATCATCACCAAAGCCATGACATTACATGACATGATCAAATTCTAAATTCATTATTTTGGTACTAAAAGTTTTGTCATTAATTTTATTTGGTCGATGGTTGAAATAAAAGAGATGGATTGTAACTAAATATTTTAATGTCTATAAATGAGATATATTACTAAAACTTTAGTATCTAAGAAGAATCCATGATTCTTTTTTCATTGAATTTTATAATTTTTTTGTGCTTTACAAAGTATTCTCCCATCTAGGGCGTGAAGATTAATCTATTAATTGTTAAATAAATTTGAATGATTATCATTGTTAAATATTGATGGATATTTGTTAGAAGAGCATTATTTAGAATATGTAGTATTATATATTCATTTTTTATACTAGACTATTATGATTAGGCTGTTTTGAATTATATAGGCAATAATTTTTATATTATATTATTCAAATGAACTATATTATTTTTTAAAAAAATATTACACTAAAATTATTTGGGATTAAAAATGAAACTGTTCAGTATTTGGAAAAATTATGTTTTTAATTCGGTTATATTGCTTTGAAGTAGTATTTAAATTTAGAGAGCATGTTGATCAATTTTTGAAAATTTGGTATGTAAGCAATTGTAAGTTAGCATTCAATATATTTGCATGTTTGTAATCATATCAGCACATATATACATTTCATTTTTGTCTATATAGCACACGTTTACATATGCTTTGTAAAACTTTAACAAGAATGTTTTATATAATATTTTTCAATATTTTATGTTTGAAATATTGAGTGACACATTTGAGTTCATTTCAAAGGTTTATTTATATTGTCTATTTAATAGTGCATAAAGATATGTTTATATTGAAAATGTTTCAGATAAAAAGTTAAAAAGTAACTGTAGATTAATTATATACACCGACATTATTCTAAATTTGTAGTTATGCAAAAATAAAAGTTTATACTTATATTGGGTCCTTATTATTATTTTCTAAAACTAGTAATAAATTAATTGGCAAAGTAATTCACATGAATTCAAATATTGTTCAAATACCACATATTAGCTGTGTCGCATCATAACAGCAATATAATCGATGGCAAATACTTATTTTAAAATAAAATTAGTTTAAGTAAATCTAATGTGAGGGTTGTAACTAATGAATATGATATGCAGTCCTTTATAAAAATAATTATTTTACCAAAATACAACTATATTACACGTTTGTATCTTCTTGCTTTTCTTTATCCTTCGAGTGAACGAAATAGTCTTCTATTTCTTGCAATGTTTTGTCTTTAGTTTCTGGCAAGAAAAAGTATAATACTATAGTACCGAGAAGAGCGATGGTTCCGTATGTTAGAAACGTTCCATCTTGTCCGATGTTCAAAAACATAGCCGGTCCGGTTTTAACTACTACAAAAAATGCCAAAAAGGCCAGCGCAGATGCAATTCCGGAACCCAGGCCGCGCAACGCCGTTGGAAAAACTTCTCCTGTCATTGCCCATGGTAGAGGTACAATACCAACGCTGATGAAGCAAATATAACTTATTAAACTCAGCATTGGAATCCACGCTGCACCACCATTATTTCTGGTCAAATATAAATAGGCAGCCAAGACTAATAGCGAGAAAGATGTTCCAATTCCACTAATAACGGCCAGCGGCCTTCTGCCGAATCTTCTCAATAATATGCACGCTACGACTGACATAACAACACGCACAACGTCCACAATTCCCATAGCTAAATATTCATTAATACTAGGCCCCAAAGCATCGCGAATAATTGTCACTGAATAGAATGCGACGGCATTGACGCCTGAGAATTGGCACGTCAAGAAAAATATACAGATTATTATCAGTGGCTTCAAAAATGATGCTTTCTTTGCGTGTTGCCATTTATTCGTATTCGATTTGACCGAATGCGTTTGTAATAAAGTTTGCAATTCCAACAAAGACTCATCATCGCAGCCCCGAAGCCATCGAAAGGATCTTTCTGCTTGTAGAGGGTATCCATGGGATACAAGCCAACTCGGACTTTCGGGGGCTATCGACATCATCAGATAGCACACAAATGGAAAGGCGGAACAAATGGCAGCCGTAAGTCGCCAATGCAAAAATGTACCCATTATATGGGCCAATAAAATGCCTAATGCTATAGCAAGGGACACAGCCGCTAGCAGGAATCCCCGGTAACGAGGCCCGCTCGTCTCGCCAATGTATACGGAACAAGGTGGCCCGAGCAGACCCACACAAAGACCTAAAATATATTCAGGGAAAATACATTTTTATGTTACGTACCTCTTGTTTGAAGCGAATTTATATAAATCAACTTATAATTATATGCTGGTCGTCACAAATAAGGATTTATAATTCGAATTAAAATATAAAGTGGGGTATATAAAATTTGATCAAATTCGCAAAAATTTCAATGAATTTTTCTTAAACTTGGATTATATTAGTAGAGATTTCAAGATTTTTTTGATGCAGTGTTTGTAAGCTTTAATCTATTTTTTTTTTTCAAAAATTACGTAATTATTATGAAATATTTTCGTAATACATATTACGTAATAATCCACATTACTTAAAATAGGCGAAATTATTACTTATTAATCATACGTAAAAATGACATAAGTATGTAACTTTTCTTGCGTAGAAATTGCATAAATATTACGGATTTTGGCTTAGCGGGTAGTGTATTTGATTAAAAAAAATTGACAATTCTTAGTTTGTCTTCGAAAAAAAGAAAACAGAAACGTAAATAATATGTTTATCTGCCTATAATTTCTTATATCATACAAAAGTATGGTGCATTGAATTAGATGATGTAGTAGATCTAAAATATATACTTTTCTTATTATTAACACGTTTACAATCAAAATGAAAATTTAATATCTTTTGTTATAAATTAGACATAAGATAAACTTTTTACCTGTAAGAAACCTGCCGATTAATAAAGGCGCTATAGAGCTAGACATTGCTATGAGAGCCCAGCCGAGAACAAAAGGAACGCATAGCAGCAAATGGGTCGCTCGTCTTCCATATCGCTCCATCAAAACTCCTGATATCAAACAACCCGCCGACATAGGCAAAGCTGCCACTGATGCTAAAATTAATTAATCAATTAATTATTAGATAATGTTTTGGAAAATTATTTCTTTCAATAGATCAAAAATGATTTTAAAATTTTATGAAAACTGTTTTCACAATCTCTCATACCAGGCACACCTGCCTGAGATATGAAAATAATACATATAAACATATAAATAAATAAAAAAATAAAAAACGTTCAGTATGACTGAGAAAAAGAGGCAAATGAGATCTAGAAAATACAAAGCTAAAGAAATGCCGTTTCTAAATATTATATTTTTAAAATATTTATTAGCAGTCAAATAGTCAAAATAAATAAACTATTTATTCTGTGCATTTCGACACTGTATGTGTGTATATTTTTATTTTTATTTATTTTTTTTATTTATTGTTTATTTGTTGACTTTGTATATATGTATATTAGTCATCATACATTTTATAATTAATCTTTACACTTTTATTTTATTTGTATGTATGTATATGATAACTTTACAATGAATAAATTAAAATGTATAAAAGTTTGAAGCTTATTGAAACTAGTTTAATTAACTTCCTTTAGGGTGAGTTATAGTGAACACAAAAAATTGGAAATTTCAAAGATTTTCATTGTATCTGAACATTTTGGCATACCTTTGAGGAAATGGATGTATGTATGTGTGTGCGGATACAAATTTTCGTCGACGATTTCGGGAACACCCATCAACCGATTCGAATAAAAAAAAATCAATTCGTATTGATGGGGCTGATTAGTTTTTGGCAAAGGCAGTTCTAGCCATTTTGAAGACACAGGGCAAAATGTGCGAAAAATGGTAATTCAGTTTTTGCTATAATCGGAGCATACGATTTGAATAATTCAAAATTTTTTTTATTTGTATTAACGAAATGAAGAACTGATTTTTGGAAAGGTTTCGGATATCCAATAAAACAATAAAAAGGCACATCTGGCGAACAAAAATGATCATTAGACATATGCCCATCAAATTATCTCAGATATTTTATAAAGATTTTAATAATAAGTACAAATTTTGTCTATATTTCTATGGGATCCATTCTAATTCTATCCGTTATACCGCAATGCGGCGCTTACGCGCTTCGATATTTCATCTCTTCGCAGCACCATTGCTCTGAAAACAGGTTCAAAATTTTCAAAAAATTATAAGATTTAAAAAAATATTTAAAATTTTTCAAAAACGTCAAGTTTATTAAAAAATTTCGAAACTCTCAAAAAATCCAATTGTTCTATTTTAAAATATTTTTTGAAGCTTTTAAAAATTTTAAATCTACTACTACAAAAAGTTCAAACAATTTGCCTTAAGGCATGATCCCATGCACTAGTTTTTTATTTTTACTAATTTCAAACTCCTGATGGATAATAATCTGCAGGACTGAAACCTGCCATGCGATTGTTTTTGAACTTATCACCCTAAGAATTACCAGTACAAATTTTTTTTGGCTTTACAGGAACACCATTATGTAAAAGCCTGTTTTTTGGTTCATAGAACAGCTTGATTCCTATTTGGATAAAATTGAAAATAGAATTTCTAGGTAAAGAACTTATAAACAAGGACGCTTATTTACAGAACATCAGGATTAATATATTATTAACTAATTTTATTTTTTAATTAAATAAAAAATGTTATTTTATTTTAAACGTTCGATATATAAAAATATATGTTATTAGTTGAACAAATACATATCTTGAAATGCCAATCTCACAATAATTTGATGATTAATTTAAAGTAAAAAATAAACGCGCAATACAAACAAATTTACTGAATACTTTCCATTCGATCGAAATCTTTTCACCTTTTGAAAAATATTTGCAATTCTGGTCAATATTATTAACAAATAGACGTATTTTAACTGTTGTTAGAAAGCTTCGATTAAATCCATTCATGATCTCGCATGAAAAGACAACTGAGTAAATAATGTGCATAATAAGACATCAATACTCGTAGTTTCATAAATGATTCACTGACCGGCACCGAGACCGAGCGTGATTAGTGCATACGAATGGCGCTATTATAATATTATAATACGATGAAAACATGCCATTATTAAAGCAAATAAAATATCTGCAACAATACATTGAGAAGTTCATTAATCGCCGATAAAAAATTTAAATAGTAGATTTGCTCTTGAAGTTTTGTTATTGTGGTTAGAAAAGCTTTCACTTTTGAAATGATGCTCAAGGCAATTAAAATGCGGATGTAATGTCCTATAATGAAATTCACACATTTTGTTCTAAATTGCGAAGAACAGACATGATACGCAATTTTATCAAAATTGTATCATATAAAAATAATAAAAAAATTGTAATATCAGTTTTAGCATTTATTCTTTCAAAATTATGGCCTATTAATTTGATCCAATAAATCGTATATAATAACTAGGGTAACCACTATCTATAAATATATATAATTAATATGAATTGAAATAACTCATAAAATGTATTTATAGTTAATGTTCTGATAGTTATTATTATTAAAAAAAATCTTTTTCCAAGAGCAATCGTTTCCTCAACTCAAGCAGAATTGTTTTTGAATCATTCAAATCGGATGTTTAGTTCTCTCGAAAACTGACATTTTTTGCAAATTTAGCTCCGTATCTGCGTTTGCCAAAAACTAATCAACACACTTCGAATGTTTTTTGAACCATTCAAATCTGGACGAACTAGTTAGTATTTTGCCTTGAGGCAAGTTACATGAACTTCTTGATATGTGTAAATAATGGACTTAATTAATAAAGTATAAATTAATTTATGAGCGATTAAAAGTATTCCGGGTGGATTTATTACACATCATTGAAAACGAACGAACACTCTATCGTTATACCAAGTATAGACGATTTACTATTTTAATTTTAACAATCGTCAATAATACTACTCATTTTATCAAACTTTGATAAATTTAAAAAATTAAATTACTTGTCGTAAGGCAGTAATATTTCAGTAAGTTCTGTAAGACCATGATATATATCGCCAAAAAAAGTTCCATAAAAATCGGTTCAATTTTTTATTCAACAGTTAATTACAAGAAAACGGCTCGGTAGATTTTCACCTAAAACTAATCAGTATCATTCCCAACTAATATATTTCAAACAGTTTTTAATTTTTCAAAATCGATTCGGTTGTATGAGCTTAAATGAGGACGAAAAGTTTAACACTTTTTTCCAAATTACAAAGAAACGGCTCGGCCGGTCGTCGCACAAAACTGAGAAACGATAATCCTCATCGAGATACATCAAATGGCTTTTAAATTTCTGAAATCAGTTCAGGCGATTTTGAGCAAACGTCGATGAAAGGTCTAATTTTGACAAATGCTAAAAAAACTTGAATAATTTTTGCAAATTTTGAAGAATTTTTAAAATTAAACGACGCAGGGCCCTAATATTTTAGTATGATCAATAAGACAAATGAAAATCATAAAAATCGCCGAAATTTTTTTTAACACTTTATTACAAGAAAACGGCCCGGCCGATCTTTACCAAAAACTAATCAGCACGATTCCCAACCAATATCTTTCGAACAGATTTTGAATTTTGAAAGCCCGATTCAGAATTACGGGCTAAAACGTGGACGACAAAATTTTCACTTTTCTCCTTCGAGAAGTTAAAAATTGTATCCATACATACGCACATACATAAATACATCCATTTTTTCTAAGGTATGCCAAAATGTTCAGAAACCTCCGAAACGTAAAGATATGCAAAAAATTACATTTTCGATATTTGGACAATCACAATAACTTACTAACACGGGAAGTTAAAAATCTTTCAAAATTATTTTTTGGCATAGCAACCGTAAAGTGTATTAATTTGTCCATCATGAACTTTCGTAACCGTGATGATGTAATCGTAATGATAATGTAGTTGAATTGGTAATCTTTTTACTCAAATTAAAGCAGTGTATTTTAATATTATTTTTGAATACGTAAATTTTATTTTATACACGTAAATACACACATTTATATATAATAAAATCATAATCATTAGAAAAACATGAAGACGAACGCCTTTGGTTTTGAGTATAAATTGATTATTTGGTATGCTCACTAAACAATTCGAATGCCATAGAGAAAGTTCAACGAAAATGTTTGAAAATCAAAAAAAAATTGTTTTTAATTTTTGAACAGCAATCAGAACCTTACGTCCTATGAGCTGTTGGGCTGAAACTTCTCCTTGCTTAGAATTTTTTTTAGATGGTAACCCAATGGTTAATCCATTCATATTTGATGATTTTCGTTATAACAGGCTGCTCGAAGTGGGTATCGAACCCGAGACCTCTGAAACAAGTCCCGTCGCTCTTAACCGCTTACGTACGGGCGAGCCCAAATAAAAAATTAAGAATGTATAAAACTTATTCCGATTACAATATGCTCCTGAATAAATTTAACATTTTGTCTCGTCACACGTTGTTTTATTGATAGTATTTTATTATTATATAAACTTTGTGAATCTTTTGGCAGGTTAAACTCGCCTGGTATTTTGATTATCAAACTTATAATTAATAAATTAAATCGTATAAAAATTTGAAGCTTACAGGAACAATTTTAAATTTCGTTTTTTTGTATTTTCAAACTCCTGGTGGATAAAAATGCCCATAATTGGAATCTGCCATGCAATGGTTTTCGTACTTAACACGCTAAGAATCACTACTACAAAAAAATTGTAACGATGGTATAGAATTCACTCAAAATCCTAACCAATTATCTTAAAATGCTTCTAGAACATTTTTACAAATTCACATATTTTTCAAGTATTACCAATTCCTAAGGAATATGATTTTTCAAAATTCACTTGTGGTAGTGCAAATATCTTCTAACTTTAACGAAACGTATAAGAACAATAAACCAAAAAATACAGATTTTTTTAAATTATAAAAGATACTACTATTCATATGAATAAAATAATTATTAGTCATCTGCAGAAATTATTTTTTCTTATATTCATTTTAGTTACGTATTACGTATAGTACTCTACTAATTGTAAACCCTTCTTGATCTATTCTATGGGACACCAGTTTTTGTTTGTTTTTAACTAATTTCGAAATATTTATAATAAATCATATTTTAATTAATTGAAAATGCATTTTGAACTGGATTTTAAGCTTGAATGAAAGACTTAGTAATATATGATCGCCTATTGCTTTTGAGTATGAATTGATTATTAAAATCTCATGTAAATGTTGATTTCTTATTTAAAACAAATCAAGTTAATAAATAATTGCTTTTATACTAGTAGCAAACACCTTGAGAGATAGCATTTTAATTATAATACTGTATAATCATGTTAGTCAGTATTGCAACAATTTTAGTAAAGCATTAACGTTTATATTAATTATATTATATCTTGTGAGTTTGAATTCAAATCTTTTAAACGTCTTTTTGGTATAAGAAAGTCTATTATATATTTAACGTGAAGCAATTTGGAAACAAAATTGCGACTGGAGACATGCTTAGATCTTAGAATTATAAAATAGGTTACTATATTGCAAATAAATATTTGAAGTAATATTTATTTTAATTAAAGAATATTTACCAATCCAGGACTCTTGTTCAGTGTCAATTTGAATAGGACTATCTGCGAGTTTTAGTTGGGGTAATAAAATCGCCGAATAACCTGATGTCATTCCAGCAGCTACAGTTGCCATTATGGGACCAGAAGCTGCCAGAACCTGATGTTCAAAAAGTTTATATTATCAGTCATTCAACATTATTTTGTATTAGATTATTGAATCATGATTCATGAAAATTTCTCTATTTTGATTATAATTACCAAAATGAACCATTTTAACACTAATATTTTCAATTCTAGTTGAACTATTTAGTTTTTATGTTGAACAATTTAATTTTGATTAATTTACCTATACTTATAAGTATGTCTAAAGCTAAAATTTATGAAGAAATAAATTTTGCAAGAATTGAAATCAACTGTATTGATTATGAACGATTACGTCGAAAGATATACATAGTTTCAAAACATCTCAAGTATGCAAATAATCAAATTTTGGATGATCTGATATATTTTATTAAAACGTGTTGCTCAATATCTGGAGACACTTTCAAATTTGCGAAACACTATGTTAATTACTTGTTTATGATAGATTGATAGATTTAGGTTTTATTTTAGGAAACATGAGATAATCAAAAATCTTCTCCTAAATTGGTTGACTTATTAAAATTGACAGAAAATCAAATAATAATAAATATATTTGAAAACTAAAAAGAAAGGATCAAACAGCATTGAATAAAACACCTCAGTGCTTCGATAATTTTATTGGATTTGGACGCAAGAAAGCTTCTGCTAAAATCAAAATACCATTGTTTTAATCACCAACAACATAATTTTTTATTTAATTATATATTTTTATTTAGTTTTGACGATCACGAAATACATTTGTCCTTATAAGTCATTGCAATATATTATTATCATCTAATATCTACATATTTCTACTATATAAATTTAGATTTGAAAATTATTGATCGTTTACCTGTCTGGTGAGTGGTGAGAATCGTTTTGGGGAGATGGTGCTTTCGATGAGTGTTTGTTGGGGTTCCAGTGGCTTTTGGGGTTCCGCCGCATTTGGGTCAGTGGAACAAATAACGATGGGAGGGTTGCCAACATCTTGGGGCGCGCTGGAGGGCCCTGAGGTACCCACTACATCATCGTTAGACACCATCTGAAAATAGGAAAAAATCATTATTTTAAAACAATATCAATAGATAGTATTTAATAATGTAATAGATTAGCAGTCAAAGAAATTCAGCTTTAAGACAAATTTCTAAGAAGGGCAGGAAAATTAACCGATTAAAATTCAAAATTAATCGAAAACTTGTACCTAAAAAAACTGTTCAGATAATATTTTCAATTATTTAGGTAATTTAATTTTTATATATAAAATATTATAATTTTAGAGAAAACTGATTAAGATGAGCAGATTTTAGTAAAATTAATTATGAAAAATTAACGAAATTTTAAGCATTCTAAAAGTATAAAAATTTAATAAAATATGTTTGCACAAAATTTCAAATTCTAGAAATTATTCTGAATTTAAAAGATTTAAATAATTAATACACAGATAAGTATACTATAATACAAATTAGACTGCTTTAATAATTATATTGCATTTTTTTTCTAACAGAAATCAGAACTATTCCTAGTATTTTGTAAGCTGGTATGATATAATAGTTTATAAAATAGCACTATAAGGAGGCAACCCAGTGGTTAACCATTCTCTTTGTCATTTGTGAAAATAGCATTTTGGGGCATTTATCACATTACTTTTAGAAATATCTAAGAATAATGACAAAGAAAATGGTTAACCACTGGGTTGCCTCCTTATAATGTTATTTTATAAACTATTATATCATACCAGCAGTAGTGTTATCAGATCTCACTTGCAAATATAGATATAAACATGATTTCAATTAAAATTATGTTTAGATCTATATTTACAAGTGAGATCTGATAACACTACTGCTTGATATCTAGCTGTCCAAAATAAAAGCAAATAGAATTTGGAAACATGGAATCGCTAAGAACAAAATTTAGTATATTGAATAATTTAAAATTTGTTATATTGACATTAAATTATATAACAAGATACTAATATATATAGCATTAACGTTAATTAAGACGATTAATGAAATGACGTTATTATTAAATTAAATCGAAACTCACTTCCATATATCATCTAAACCTTTTATCGTTCCAAATTATAAAATAATAGATTTTTTTCTCATCGAGTAATAAAGAATAAGATATTTTAATGTTGTGCTCCTAAGATTTTATTTATATCAAATTCATATTATCAACATCGAAATTAACTATCATGAATAATGAATATATATATATATAAGTATTTTTAGTATTTTAAAACTGACCTTGCTATGTGGCTTGAATATTATAGAAATACAATTAATCACCATTTTGATCAGAGTTATTCAAGTAGTTAAAAAATATACTTTATTAACATAAACTTAAGATATAAATTATTTCTAGTACATTTTTATACAGAAATGCTAAAAATAGTCAATCTATCAATTTATTATAAATGAAAGGAATATGGAGAGCAAGTTTACTTCATAACTGTCACAGTTAAACTAGACCAAATATACACGAAGCGCATATATAATGATATAAGAAAATATTTTATGTAAATAGTAATCTGAAATATTTTTCAAAAGCGTTATTTGTCACATAGTTAAACAATAACGGTCTGGAAATAATACAAAGACAAGCATTGCAATTAATATTTTTCAATTTGTTTATTCTTCACCCAGAAAAAGAGAGCATTATTTATTTTCGGTTTATATTAGATTTATATCAATGTATGGAATTATTTCGGGTGTTAATATATATATTATATATAATTCTCTCAATATTAAAAAAAATATTATTTGGTTTTTTGACAAAGTAATCTGTATACCAGTACTAGTTATTATTAAAAGAAATCGAACAAGAAAACTTAGTTTTGACTCTTTAAAAACAATTCGGACTACAGATCATGTTAATGTAGACTGTAGAGCATTGACTCAATGCAATAATGGGAACTTACAATTCGAACAATCATATTTCAACGTTCGCCCTTTGGACCCTATATCAAAATCAGTGTCGACTGTCACTACCAAACCCAGTCTCCCCTACAATAATTAATTTTCACTACTGCATGAAAATTATTGAAAATACTAAAAATATAACTATAGTTATATTTATGTTAATATGACATTAAATAAAAAAGTAATACTGTAAAAGTAATAACAATTATTGAAAATACTAAATTATTGTAAAAGTAACAAAAATTATTGAAAATACTAAAAATATAACAATGACATTAAATAAAAAAGTAATACTGTAAAAGTAATAACAAATTAAAATCAGTACGATCATCAAAGATTAAATTGATGATTCACTAGTTCAGCAGATTAATTCTGCAAACATTTTAAAAACAATGGATGAATGTCTAATGAATATGTATGAATAATTTAATAATGTTTTGTTCAATAATGGTAATATTTGAGATGATTATTAATTATAATTTTTCTTGTGTTCTCTTATAAATAAATGTAAACAAGATATTGTAGGATTCCAATAACTAGCAGAGTTACACCAAATGTAAAGTGCACTATATAAATAGCATCAATAACATTTTCATAATTGTCTAATACTATATTTTATTTAATTAGTAGAAAAATTTAAGAAGTAGAAATCTATGAAGTTTAAAATAAAAGATTCGACTAAACAAAACTCTATGCTTAAGCATATATAATTGCCCCAGTAATCAATAAAACAAACTATTTGTAGTTTGTGATCAATCAAAAATTTTTATCAATTGAATCTACCTTTGCAATGAAACATTTATATTATTGTCAAACAAATATTTGTATATTGTTTAAATGCTTGTATCAAATTTTTAAAAAAAATAAATAAAATGGTATTGCAATAATGTTCTATTATATTTTCTACATTCACTAGGTTATTACATACATTCTTACAACTTAATCAGAAATGAAAAATCAGAATGACACACCGTGTACCTTGCACTAGAAGTTGAAAAAGCTTTTAGAAAATGCCTTCTTATCTATGCCAAATATAAAAAGTTTTTATAAAAATATTATTTTTTAAATGCTTTCGAATCTATGCCAAATACTAGTGAGGTGCATGGCATCGTGCCTTAAGGCAAATTGCTGAAACTTTCCGTAATCAAAAATCTTGGTACGGAACCCAAAAAAAATTGCACAAATGCGCACACACACATACACACACACAACATCCATTTTTTCTAAGATATGCCAAAATATTCAGAAACCTTTGAAACGTATTGATATATAAAAATTTTTCATTTTCGATTTTTTTGCGATTATTATAACTTACCCTACGGGAAGTTAATAAAAGTCTTTTTAAAACCTGTTGAAAAATGAAAAATGAACATTGTTGAAATTATCTCATGATGCAACACTTATGCACCAGTATTTGTAACTGCCCGAAGAAATTTATGAATCGCTAGAGAATCCAATTTTCTAATTGTGTTTTTTCGGCGTGTCTAGTCATTCTGAATCATTTGATACAAATGTGTGTATTTGTGATTTATAATTAGACCTTTCATCAAAGTTTTTTCTAAAACCGCTACCCCAGTATAATGCCATTTCTTTAGAATTAGCATGCAAGTGCAAAACTTTTTGCTAGCCCTTTTGCCAAAATTTAACTTTTAGAAAGATGTTGGGACCTGTGCTGATTTGATTTTGGAAAGATCGGTCAAGCAGTTTCTTCGCATTTAGGTGTTAATTTTTTTTGACTATTTTAATAAAACTTTGCATATTGATAGAGTTCATGCTCTTAACCAACATCCTAATTTATAGACCTATAAATAGATTTACATAATAAAAACTTATTAATGTTTGGAATAATGGACCGCGCTTCTGTAATCTTCTATCATAGTAAGTCAAAGCAACTCAAATAACTTATAAATATTATTATACTTATTAAAAAAAAGTTAATTATTTACATATATCGAAAAATTCATAAGGTGTTATTCATATTTATGTTTACTTATCTATGGTGGTATTCAGCTTGAAGGCAACATGCCATTTATTGTAATTACGATTACATTTTGTCTATAAGTTAATAAGTCCCGTGAAAACAATCACATATGAATAAAAATTATATATGTTTGAAAATGTATAATGTTATGCAATGATTTGTTTTAAAAAATTTATTAATTGATTAAGAAACCTCGTTTGGCAAAGGGACGTCCTTGGCGCCTGCCCAGGGCAATTAATTCTGTTCGAATTAGCAGACACCTTTGCACAAATCACTTTATTTATAATTTAAAATATCTAGAACAGCAGTCATTTCATTTCGACAGACTTTCTAGTAATATAAGAGCTGTTGTGAAGTTGAAAAATATTAATAAAATATATTAATGGTGTATAAAAAATGACACGTTTTTTACATTATATTTTTTGAAATCTGATCTGCATATTTTTATATAAATTTAAGAAAAATCATTCACAATTTATTAGTTTATTGGATCAATATTTCAGAAATTATTCATAGATACATTGTTTCTAAAATCATTATAAGAAATTAATCTTATTTCGCGCAAAACATTTTTTTATCGTTGTTTATCAAAAAAGTAATTACGCAAAATGTAGATAAGCTGAACACATGATTCTGAGTCGAAAACTCGATTTTTTTTTCAGATTTATAACAGTGAACTATTTTGCATGGTCACACCTCTCTGTAGAATTATTTACATTTGTCAAAAGATATGAATATTAATTAACGTTTTTAACGATTGAGATTGTTGTATGGTTCCTGGTTAGACGGCGAAGATAATTGTAAAAAGCGATTTAAATTGAATACAAATTCTGAGACGATGAATAATATGCATTCATAATATATTAAAACAAAAAAAATCTAAATTTATTATTTTACTAGTTGCTAATTAATTAATTCATAGTTAAATTATAAAAATTGTTTCAACCCTTTTTTGTTTTTCTAGGAATAAACTGCTAAATGATATGTATCAACTGTCGAAACATATTTTTTTTAATGAAATTTATTTTAATTTGATTAATTGGCTGTTATATATATGCAGTTTAAAAACGAACAAACTTTTTAAATTATATAACTTATTAACTTCCCGTAAGTTATAGTAATCGCAAAAAAATCGAAAATGAAAACTTTTATATATCTTTACGTTTCAAAGGTTTCTGAACATTTTGGCATACCTTAGAAAAAATGGATATATGTGTGTGTGTGTGTGTGTGTATGTATGTACGTGTGTGTATGTATGTGCGGATACAAATTTTCGTCGACGATTTTGGGAACACGGATCAACCGATTTAAATAATTCAAAAAACATTCGATTCGTATTGATAAGGAGACGTGCTGATTAGTTATGGCGAAGGCAGGTCTAGCCGTTCCGAAGATACGGGGCAAAAAGTGCTGAAAACGGTAACTCAGTTTTTAAGAGAACGGAGCGTCCGATTTCAATAATTCAAAAAACATTTCACTTTTATTGACAAAATGAAGAATCGATAATATTTTCATCAAGGTAGGTCTAGCGGTTTCGGAGATATGGAAGAAAAAGTAAAAAAATGAGCCATTTGGCGGTCAAAAATGATCATTAGACATATGCACATCAAATTATCAGATATTTTAACAATAAGTATACATTTTGTTAACATTCCTATAGGTTCCGTACCAATGCTTATGCGTTAGACAGCGACGCGGCGCTTACGCGCTTTATATTTTGTCCCTATGCAGTTAAAGCAGTACGATTGCTTTGAAAAAAAGTTCAGATCTTCCACAATATGTCAAAATAAAGACAATTTTTTTTTCAAAAAAAACAAAAAAAAAATTAAAAAAAAATTTTTTTTCTAAAAAAAATTTTTCTCAAAAAAAAGTAATTTTTTGTCCAATTTATAGTTTCTCAAAAATCTTATTTTTTTAAAGTAATTTTTTTTTCAAAAATGTTAATCGTTTTTAAAAAAATAATAATTTTTGGTACGGGAAGTTCCAGCAATTTGCCTTAAGGCACGATGCCTTAATTGCCTTAAGACAGAATTCCACTTACAGCTAGTTTTAAACGCATCGAAAATTATGTATGTTGCACCTTGAAGCTTTTGATTTGAAAATAGCTTGGATTACAAAGACATTTTATCATACTAGTTAGTATAGTTCTAATTAATGAAATATATAAAAATAATTCACTTAGCAATTTTACATTGAGAATTTGCCTTACATTTGCTATCACTATCACTATATTTATTGTTTTATTACTATCGTCTATTTAATAGATAAACATCGATAACTTAATGAGGCTTTGATTTGAGATCATAAAACTGTTGAATCCGCAACGGTAACAAATAATTAGTTGAATAATTAATAAATAACATTTGAATCAAGTAAATAAAATACACTA